CATAATTAGTCTGCTACATTAAACAGCAATTTCCGACCTTATTACGCACATGCAGAAGGTGAAGTAAAAAAGGTTCAGACTGAATTATATTTGCATTTTATATATTCAGTGCATTACAGGAGTGTAATTCATGAACTCAATGACATTCTTTTTCAGTGTTATATATCTATAAATTAGGTGCAAGCTCAATTTTAATCAACACCTGATTTAAAGTGGCTATTTGACACTTTTATCGAGCATCATCAGAACAAGAATACATGTGATTTGTGCTATACCGTCCTACGTGTTCAAAGAGTCAGATTGTGACCTCAAAAGAAAAAACATTCAGATGTACTGAACCTTTCAGATATATTTAGATATTCTCCTTGACGCAAATAGATATATACACATGCAATTCCATGCAATTTGTTTGTTCCTCTGTTGATAAATGCCTCATATATTTAATAACTGAAAACTTCAAAATGGTGATTTATGAAACTGTGAGCCCTCCTGTGATAAGTTACATTAAGAACATTTACAGTTGGTGAGAATGAGTGACAACCAGGCCTGGTTACACCCATTTTGCAGAGTGTTAGACTAAAAATAATCCAAAAGGAAACTAAGATATATAAACACAGATAAACGGTGAATTCTATGCTTTCACTGCATATTTATTTCAACACAATACAGTATATACAGTTTCAAAATAAAATGCATATCTTTGAAAAAGATAACAAAAAAAAGAACTTGGCCTAAGGGAACACCACCAGTGATAAGCATTAATGACTGTCACACTTTTCAGCTTCTTAACATAAACACTGATATAGCACATAAATTAAATCTTAAGTACAGAGAATGTATTGAGATATTTTAAATCAAACATACATAAATGCATTACACTGTATACATAACCATTTGAAAATAATAATTATTTAACATTTCCAGCAGTTTCGTTCGATAAATAGAGTGATATGAGAACAGGGCTTAAAAGGCAGTAGTTTCCGTTCCGGAAAGAAAAGCAGAGAAATAGAAACAACAACAGAAAAATAAAGCAATAAAGTTTTGAATTAAACTTTCACCACGTTTGATGAATTGATATACTTTCCCTTAAGTTAGCATTGTTTTCTATTTTTTCCAGAGCAATGCAGATCTTAAGATAGTGAGGCTGTGAGAAAAACACATTACGTCACACATTTGAATAAGCTGAAATAGTAGCACTACTGTAGGCTGGATTTTCCAAGGACACATAATACAGCTTTTTAAGTTACACACAACTTTCCTCACGCACACTCACACTCGCACACATACACTCTCTGAGTTATGTAAAGGACACTGACGGACACGCCGAGCATCCTCAGGTGACAGATGGTCAAATCGTTTTTAGTTAGCTCATTGCTGCTGTAAGTTCCTGGCATCGGAGATAACAGGTTTAAATGCTTCAGTATTCTTAGGAAACACCTCTGCAGTGTATACAAGGTGGGCGCTGTGCATGGCAATGAACAATACAGATTGCATATAACATACTAGTTTCTTTGATATGGTGTATAATAAAAAAAACATTCTGGTCTCTGGCTCTCTGATGACACCAAACTCACATGGAGAGGCACAATTAGTTAGAAAACGGTGTGATTTTTGTGATGCACAACACGTTACTATAAAGCAAATCTGTTTTCTTTTTAATCTTGCATTGGTATGTATAAAATGTACGTGAGTGGGGTGGGAGGGGACGGGTAGGTTGCGCTCAATAAGAAGACTGCAGAGTTCAACATAGGCATGGGAGATTTTAAGTGAACACACTGGGAACAGAAAATGCAGTTGTTGGATGAAGTTTTGGCAGCATAACACCTTGTTGCAAAACAAAAGTCATGTTCAAAGGCCTCCTGCCAAGATTTCCGCTCTAGCAGTGCCCAAAAAATCTTTAGGGTGTGGCATTAATCAGAAAGTTGTCACTGTCTGTTATAGATCTGCATAGTGAGGTGTGGACAGGAAATCACTGACAATTAGGGAGGGTAGAGTTATACTGATCATACTAAAGTAAAACCTTTACCAAGTACTTTCCACTGTGGCTGTATCCACTTTCTACAGGGCAACATGTCCATCAAGTCTCACAGTCCAGTTTTCTGTATGCAACTGGTAACTTGGTTGCTAAGTAGACCATCAGCTTTCATTTTCCTGAAATGTAGAGGATAACGGAACCTGTCCAACTGCTCTTTTCTAGAGAAAACCCATCTTTGGCTTTATTTCCCATTCATTCAGGCCTTCAAACAAACATTTTTGCGTCCCCTCCTGTCCTCTCTTTATGCATTCTGCTGGCTATGTGTCTTTGTGACTCCACTGCCTGCCCTAAAAGGTTTTTATGATCCAAGGGGACCTGATCCCATCCCCAGTGCAGATACATCTGTAAATACAGTAGAAAAGTTAACCACACAGGGCCTTGTGCAGGATGGAGAACATTTACTGTGCTTCAGCAGAGAGGTCAGCTCATGAATTTGAAGGAGTCAGCTTTTGAGGTGATGATACATCAGTGGGATATGTTGTGGGTAATAGCTCAGGAAACTGTCTTTCGACTCGGATGATTCTTTCCTCTTTTGAGAGCAGCTACAATAATAATATTTTCCCAGGAAAGGCAAATTTTGGCACCATTAGCCAACACTACAGCTCTCCTGGAGGTACCAGACCTTGAATAGGTAAGATTGCTCTTCCAGGTGGCACTGTGGGAGACATTCACCCTCAGGTGTTAGCATTTAGCATGCTAAAAGTTGGGAGGAAATTCTTGTTACTGGCAAGAAGCTGTTGATCCCAAAAGGAAGAAATAGTCTCATTCATGTAAAAAAAAGTCCTAAGTATGGGAGTAACAAATACACGCTGGTATGCTTTATCAACTCTGGTCACAGATGTAAGTTTAATCAAGGTTCAAAGGTTTCATTTAACTTTAAAATGTAGGATTCCTATGAGGCTCACTAACATTACAATGGGTCCAGAGAATTTTCAACAGACCATTATTCTACTTCTGCATCTCCCTTTAGTCAATTTAATGAGATAAGTTGCTAATAATAGGTACGAGTAGCAAAGATGTTACATTAGACCACCTTAGGGCTTGCCTTCAGTTAGTACGGGACTGGACTCCACAGTAAATTAAGCTAAAATGCCAAAGATTCACTGACTCCAGCTTCGGTTTTCTTCGTCTTCTATGATATTAAAGTTTTTGGACTGTTGGTTGGACAAAAAAATAATCGACAGATTTATCAATAATGGAAATAATCATTAGTTGCACCCGGAGTTATTTCAACCACTGCATAATGTACTTTTAAACACAAAGTA